CCCCCCCCCCCCCAAAAAAAAAAAAAAAAAAAAAAACCAGAATCTGCAAGAAAAATGATCTGTTGAATATGCTGGCTAGTTTTCTGATGTGTTTTTTTGGTTGTTTGACAATAGTGATGTGATCACTGAACAAAAGCAACGATAACGACGATAACACTAATTGAGAATGCTAAAAAATTAAACTTACCTATTTTATTGGCTTCTGGATAGCTGTAGAGGACAGTAATTTTTAAACTGATTTTGTTTTGTAACTGTGTAACAGTATATGACGTTTCTTTTTGAACACTCCAGTCTTTTGGTATTTATTCATAGTTTGTCTTGTAAATTTTCAAATAATTTTGAATTTTATTAATCATTTTGGCCAATTAAAGATGACGCAAGAAAAAGTTTTTGTTATTTTAATTTGCTTCTCTTTTCTCTGCTTATCTTGTAAAAAGTAATTTTTAGTTATGCAAAATTTTTTGCTTCTTTTCAGTTGTTTAGTGATGCTGTTTGCTGTTGTTGTCGTTGTTTTAATTATTGTGGTTGTCTGATTATTCATGAATCCTTTTTTTTTTCTAGTCTATGCTAAAACATTTTTCATCTTTTTAATTAAAAATAAAAATAAACTTTAGTTACTGCTATTGTAATGACTTTTATAGGACAGCATTTTTTTAGCCAATATCATCGATAACTCAAGTTGAAAATATATACGTGCAGTAAATTTCAGTGATGTAAAGCAGTTAATAGATATTAATTTAAGTTTCTTTTGAACCTCAAATTTAATTGATGGAAAACTTGCTGAAAAATTTTAAATTGTTTTGAACAGTGGTATAAGGTTTGAGAAGAAAAAAGGTAAATTAATTGTTAGGCAAAATTTTGATTAGCTTTTTTTGATAGCGCTAGTTTTTGAATAAGTTTATACGATAAGTAAGCATAAAATTATTGCTTTCAACAGAACTGACAAACAGTTAGTTGGTTAATTCAGACGACATTTTACTGGTCAATAATACCATTTGGATAACAATGGCAACAATATGAACAAAAAAAGTAGATAAAAAAACAGGAAAATAGCACTAATGCTTGATTGTGCAAATAGTTCTGGTGCCATATAATACCCATTTTTTCTTTCAGTTAATCTGTGTACAGTTAACAATTCAGTAAATTTCTCTTTTTTTTTTCTTTTTTTTTTCTTTGCTCAAATTTTCAAGGTGAAAAACTGTAGACAGTAGATGAGGAACTGGAAGGAAAAAAAAAGGCTGAACTTTAATTGTTCAAGTTGACTTTCTATGTTTTCTCCCCGTTTTTTTCTGCCTTTTGTTGTTGGTTGGTTAGCACCCAGTAAACGACAGACGATCACATCTGGGCAGATGAGTTAACATAGCTGAAAAAATCTTTATGAAATCTTTATTTATTGCAAAAATAAAAAAAAAAAATTTTTTTTTCTTTTTTTTTCTTCTCTCTTACATCTATTTGTCTCATATTGATTTCATATTTAATAGCCATTAAATAATACAATTACATCAGGATACTGCATGATATGCGTATGTCTCTATTAAAGGATCTATAAATATATTTCTAGATATATGTAGTTTAAAAATGATGATGATAAATGATTGTTATGGGCAGTATGTTTTGGTGGTTTGAGATGCCCAACACTGTTAACTGCTTTGCTTGTCGTATCCAAATTGGATTAAATGGGTTATCTTCAACACCAGCATCACCGACATCAACACCAGCACCAACACCAACGACAGGAACAACAGGAACAACAACACCACCAAAACTGCCAACAGTTATCGGTGTGTTGTCTGTTGTCGGTGATGTTGTTGTTTCTTTGTTCCCATATCATTTCTCCTTGTTTATGTTTAATGACGACCGCTGAAAAAAAAACTGTTTTCCACTGAGACATAGATCACCGTTTTTTTTGTTGTTGTTGTCGTTATTTTTGCTTGTTTCTTTTACGTTTTATTAACGCTAAAAAATTCTGCTAAAATCTGCTTTTTGTAAACATTTAGAATGTTCTATACTTTTTTTCCCCATTTTTTTTTATTTTGGTTCTTTTTAAAGACATTCAAAAGTTTGAGTCTACAAAACCGTACGCAAAAAACCGATGAAATTATACAAATCGATAATAGATAGTGGTTGTTTGTTCCTATAATTTGTTATAAGAAAATCTCTGATAAAAATAAGCAGCACAGAATCACTGTTTATTAATTCCAACAAAAATTACTGTTTATGAAGTCATTTTGTTTTATTGCTCTTTTTTGCTTTTTTTTGTGACTTTAGAATTATTGTATTTGAAGGCGAAAAAAATTATAAACACTGTTATTGATGTTGTTACTCAATTTTAGAATGCCCGGATGAAGGAAGTCAACAGTAAAACGGTAAATCTGTTCAGCAACAAGTATCAATCAGAATTTTGTTGCTTACAAAAACAGTGCAGATTCGACGGCAATGCAACAACGGTTTGGCTATAGTAAAAAGGGAACAGTTGATGTTAGCAGTAAATTTGTTTGGATATTTAACACGATTCTTCTGCACAGTTTACTAATCCTGTCAACCTCAGCAGTATCAACCACTGTTAACTGCCTAATATCGGTTACGGAAAAATCTGTAGAACAACGTGCAACAACTGTTGATGAAAGTGTAGCTAATACTGCGGAGCCAATAACGCAACCATCGTCAGCAAAGTTGAAAGTACAAAAAGTTGATAACGGAACTAACGAAATGAAGACAACAGACTCTGATATATTTTGCACAAAATTAGATTTTGATATAGCAACAGGTTTGTTGATGTTTTTCAGATGTTACATTGTCATTTATCCTCTGGTTTTTCATTTTAATTTTGTCTCTTTTTCGATATTCTTTTTCATTTAATTGCAGTTTGGTTTTTTTGTCTTTTTTTTCTGCAAAAAAAAAAAGAAAGAAGAAAACAAAGATTGTTATCAAAAACTTTTTTCAAATGGAAAAAAAGGCCAAATAACGTTGGAAGTTAATTTTGAACAGTAAGAATGTTTTTTTTTTCAATGAATAGAATTCTTGGTAAAGAGGTTTATATTAGAAAAAGAAATAGAAATTTGCTCAACTGATTCCTCCTTTTGATGGTTAAAGTTACTAGACTAACAGACAGGAATTTAATTTTTGAACACTCAAACTGCTATTCTGGTTTCAGGTAAAAAAGTCAAGAAGTGTTCTTTAATGCTTTTTTTTATTTCTTTTTTTGGTTTATTTTAAAAATCAAAAAATATTAGCTGCTAAGCTGAGACCTAATCCTGCTTGTCAGTTTTCTAAATTCGCAGTTTACGTTTCAAAGTACTGTGGCTAAGCTTACCAACTGTCTAAAAGATTGTTAAATTACAAGTTTCTATTTTTGACTACATTTGGTTTAATATAGATTATTGTCATTAAATTATTTCTTTTTTTTGTCGGCTTGATCATCTATATGTCTTTTACTATTTCTAACTAATTAACAGCTTAACGTTTATAAGCTCAAGGTCTTCTAAATTTTAAAAT